AGGACCTATTGGTAAAAAAACATAGCTATGGAATTGGAATGAAAATAAAAATGAACAGAAGGATTGCAGAAAGGAATTCAGGAACTCACCAGCTTTAGAGGAACCCTGAGGCCTGAGCAGATGCGCATAATTATTTAGATTCATAAATCTATATCTGCATGAATCACCGAAATTTGGTCAAAGACTATAACTTGATTATTTGAATAACATAATATGTTTTAGAGGAGAGGACGTGTTTTTTTTCCAAAGTAAAAGATTAAAAAGAAATGCTTTACAGCCGTTAAATTTCTGATTAGCATAATACTTAAATGATGTGGAATGAACGGATTAGGGTTCCAGAAATTAAATATACCTCCTTGTAATGTATGTAGATATTGGGAATGTGGGAGATCTTGGACCATTCGGGGCCCCTCTTTTTGGCGCATCTTCTCTTCAATTTCGGACAACCGAAAATTTGAAGATATTTTAAGTTGCAGAGGCCTCGCATGGCTTCAATAGAAGGCAGATGAGTCAAATTAGAGCAATTCCTAATCTCCAGCCAATGAAGAGAAGAGAAGTCTCCCAACCACTCTGGCAAAGCTTCCAGGCCATTGAAATACCTTAACCATAATTCATTGAGGGCAGTGAGATGTCGAAGCTGATGTGGCAGAGACTTTAGTTTGTCCCATCCGTACAGGATCAATAATTCAAGCGAGGGGTGGAATTGATGAATGGAGGTCAATCCTGGAAATTCCTCCAACTCCAACCAAAAAGGACCAAGGCTTAACTTCTTCAAGCGGGTGAGGCTATCTAGCCACCCCTCTGGAAGGCTCCTTATATTTCCGCAAGCTTTTATTTCAAGAACACTGAGAGAACGTAATTTCTTGATACCGTCAGAAATGGAAATTAAATTATGGCAAAATTCAATTTTCAACTTCTGAAGTGAAATGCAAGAGTCCAGCCCAATTGGAAGACACGTTAATCCATCGCAACAATAAAGGCAGAGGTATTCAAGAGATGTCAACCCATTCATAATTGGAATGGAGTTCAGATTTTGGCAACTTTTAATTTGCAAGAACTGAAGAGAGATGCAGGATCCAAGCCCAATTGGCAGACTTGTTAATCCATTATTGTCCCCGAGTCCAAACGTTGTAAGAGTTGAGAGCCCATCTAAACTAGGGATAGCCATCAGTTTCTCACACCTCTCTATCCACAGCCCACAGAGCTTATGATGAGATGAAAATCCGCCCATCGGCCAAGTCTTCAACAAAGGACAATTAGAAATCTTCACATCCTCAAGGCAAGGAAACACGATCACACCTTGGCTCCCTACAGCTGCATCCTCAACAACTTCAACCCATTCTTCTAGCCTTTGCATGTCAGCTACAGTGAGTGTTTTCAAAGCTGGGAACAATCTGATTGATTCTGCTCCTCCAGGCTGAAGCTTGTGACCCATTCTTCTAACATTTTCCATTCCTTCAATGTAAAGAACCTTCAGAAAAGGCAATAGTCCCAAATTCGGAATACACGTGCACTCATTGCAATTACTTAACTTCAACTCCACCATGTTGTCAAGAAGGAATGAAGAACCAGAACTATTTACATCATTCCCCATCCAAGATGGGAACCTCTTTCCTTTATAACCATCAATAGTGAGGCTTTTCAAATTTGAATGAGGTTGAAGGCTTTCTAGAACTTCTTCATCGTTGTTGTTGACTTCTCTTTCATAGCCATTACTCCAGTGTAATTTCAATTGATGCAATTTTGCCTTTTCTTTCAGGTTTGCTTTAGAAGCTTCCAATTTAGATCTGACATGTTCAAGCTTCCAAATCCCTAGTTTTCCTCCAAGTTGGCTTAAGCATCCAAGGTCTTCAATCCGGCGTCCCTTTTTTGTGCCCACATCAAAATGTGATAATGTTCGAAGGGAAGTTAACTGCATGATAGATATATCCCTTGGACGACTAGAATAGATATGCCTCAAGCTGATGAGATTTGCCATGCCATTGGGAAGCTTTTTAAGACTACCATAGTCAGGAAATTTTGAAGTCTGCAAATTATAGAGCTTGGAGAAGGATTTTGGTATTGTTCTGACATCAGTTTTTGAGATGTCAAGGTACCTCAAATGCTTCAATTTGCCAAGAGAAGCTAGCAACTCTTTCCAACCTCCCTCTAATTTCAAGGATCGCAAGCTTTTGAGATCTGACGCCATGCTACAAAAAACATCAACATTTGAAAACAAAGAATGCAGCCTTTGAGCAACACTTCTTGGAATGGTTAGAAGACCCTTTCCCCTGGACTTGACTCTCAAATGTCGAATGGTACTACAATTCTGAACATCAAAATTGCAACTAGTGTCCCAAACCAAGGTCTTACCTTTTGAAACAAGCAATGAAAGATCATGCACTAGATCATGCATTTTGCAAGATTCAATATTCCCATACAAATCCCATTCAATATCTTGGAAAAAAGAATTAGATAACAACTCCTTGAAATACTCATTACCAATATCCTCCGTTTCCACAAGGCTTTCATTAGATTTGTGAACAAACCCCTGAGCCACCCAAAGTTGAATTAAATCATCTATGAAAATGACAGCATCCTTTGGAAAAATTGAACAATAAGAGAAGCACTTTTTTAAGGATGAAGGCAAACGATCAAAACTCATTTTCAATATAGATAAAATCTTCTTATTTTCATCTTGCAAAATCCATGCTTTATCATCTA